GCCAAAATGTATTAGAAGTTTGGTGGATTAATTACCTGAGATCACTGTGTTGGTCACAGCTGCATTTGACACAGTTATTGGCTGTGAGAGTGTAGGACCCATTTGGAAGAACGAGACTCTCATTGTACCATCTTAAATTTGCTGATGAACATGCTGTACATACACACAGTTGACAATTAATTAATTAATTAATGGGGGAAATATTAATAAGTGGTATTGTAAAAAGTTATTACGAATTAATAAAAAAATTTAAAATTTTAATTATTAATTCTTATATAGTTTATCATTTATTTATATATATATTTTTAAACCTACACTGCATTGAAATTTCTTCTTAATTAATTCTATAAGAAACTATACTTTTTTACCAAGTAAATCCAATATCACATCAAACCCTACTAACCAGGTATTGGAATGGCTAGTACATCTCCAGGACTGACTTGAGATTGATCAAAACCATTGACACCATCCAATTCATGAACAGTAGTCCCAAAATCATCTCCAATGCTGCTCAAATTCTCCCAAATCTTCACCACATAAGACATATACACTACCGCTCCACCTTCACCATCAGTGTTGTTCAAGCACATGCACGGTAGAGGAATGACAAGTCTCTGTCCACTTGTCAATGACGTCTCCACATTACTAATCCTTATCTGCTCCGCGCTAACAAGCTCACCATAGCCTTTCGCTATAGAGTTTCAAGTATCTAATGCTCGAACCAGGGACGGATTCAGAATTAAATCTTTGGGGAGTCTATTCTATAGTTTAAAAAATTGGAGGTTACTCTATATAATTTTGAAATTATCTACAAAAAATTTGGGGGTGCGAACTCTTATAATTTGGGGGGTCTTGTATGTATAGGCAGAGGGGAGTCCGCCCAAATTCAAATTCTGGCAAAAACGGCGGGTTGGCTGCCCGATGACCAATGGCAGCCCGCCACGTGTCCCCATTTATGGCTACGTCAGGACTGAAGTGACGGGTTGAAAAGACGAAGAGCCAGCCGAGCTACTTTCGACGAAGAGGATGTCAGCCGAGGAATATAACCGGGCAAGTTTGCAGATAGTTGTTAACCAGTCCGGTTGCCTTCTGGCCTCTTGGAGACCGGAGAAGCGTTATCTCGGTCGAAGTGAATAATCCCAGTCACGCTTTCGCGGACGGAATTAAGGGGCAATTGAGAGGGTGATTTATGATTAAGAGTTGGGCCGAGGTAACGGCCGAGAAGATTGAGAGCCCAACGGTGCATGGGGCCGAGATGATTGACCATCCGCCAAGAAATGGGCTGCCAGAACTTGAGCCGGGCAGAACTTGGGCCAAGTATGAGCCGCCCCGACCCAAGAAGGAGCTCGGTTAGATAGCGCTTGGTTGGATCGAGCTGCCTGATCAGGGGATGGCTGAAGCCAGACAAGCTGAGTGACCAGCGCCCGGAAAGGCGTGGTCAACCGAGGAGACTGTTTGACTGGCAGGAAGGCCGACCAAAGGATGTACCCGGGTTAGGCTCTGCCGGGATGCCGCCTAGCCCGGTCCTCCATGTGTTTATCCGGCTAGGCGCTGGGGTATGAAGCATGGCATGGCTGTGGTAGAGCAGCTCGGCTGCCGAGCTCCAACTGTGAAGTCGGGCAGTTGAGATTAGGTGATGATCGGCAAGGTTTATGCTAACAGATGGGATAGCAGAGCCACGTGTCAGGAGATGACTGGGAGTGGATATGGGGCTCAAAAGGTATATAAGCATGTCTGCGCCCCCCATACGCGACACACGAACATCTCTGTAAGGAATTCTTACACTCAAACACTCTCTCCCTTCTCTCTATCCATCCTAAGGTGTGTGCTAACTTGACCGTCGGAGGGTTTTTCCGGCCACACACCGTCGGGTAGCTCACCGTTACTTGCTCGCAGGTGATCGGACATCGACGGAGCTCGGAAGAAAGGAGTACGGGCTTGCCGGAATATTTGCTCCCCGTACAATTTCCAAAATGAACAATAATTCTCATATTCCCTTAAATTCATCATTTATATAAATATAAATAAGCAATTTTCCAAACATCCATTTATTTTGACACACAAAATAAATATAACAATATCATTCATGGATTTTCAGTCTCTTAAAAAAAAATCTCCAAATTCTAGGTTTTCTCACCAAAACTATACAACTCCAATCTTTTGAAAGAAAACTTTTCAAAATCATTTTTTCTTCAATCAACCCAGGTCAAAACCCATAAGATCATTTTAAAAGAACAAGAGGCAAACCCGCTTTCAAAATCGCTCAACTTCTTGAATCAACAATCAATTTTCAAAGCTATCGAAAGATGATTTCGAAAATCATATAGATCTTGCAAAAATATACATATAACTCTAAGAAAATCCCTACTTCAACTATTGAAGAAGAATAGAGATGAAACCCCAAAATTTACGATGTCGAAACTCGATCTCCACCGCACACAACGAAGCCCTCGAGAAGTTACACAACTTTGATAAAGAACTTCGATCTGAGTCCCAACGGATTTGGAGGAATCAAAGAGAGAAGATGATTTCTAGAGAGAGAAGCTCTAGATCTGGAAATTTTGGAGTTTTAGAGAGAGAGAGAACTGAAAAATTAATATGAAATCTCCCTTTACAGACTGATATAACATGGTCCGCTCGAGCCTGAAATACGCTTTTCCGTAAGAAATTTTGAATGTATTTTGCATTTTTGCTTTCGGCGAACTGATCGAGCAACTCGACCCCAGTAAGTTGACCGGGTCAAAATCGGGATCGCTACAATAATATGTTATATATATGTTTTGAGTTACCATAATATATTTTACGAATGTTTTGAGTTATCACAAATTTATTTTATATAAATTATGTTTTATGGTTATATTGATATTTCAATTATGTGGATTATTTTCGGAACTTTATTTGTTTAAATTGAAACTTATGGATATGTTTGTTTAAATTTTAGAAAATATTTGACAATGATTTTATAAACATTCGTTTTGAATAAGTATCACCACGGAGGTCCCATCCCTTGGGGACTTAAATAATCATTGGCCCTCTAAATTATCACTTTAGTGACCTTCTGACAATTCTATGCCTTGGGGGACTTAAATAACCTTTGGCCCTCTAATTAGTCGTTTCGTGACCCTCTGTCTGTCATGGATCCATTGACCCTCTGTTTTGTTCTATACCATAGTTATAATTATTCTGTTATATGATTTTTGTGTTATATGTCTGTTATTAAAAATAATTTATTCGAACCAAACTATTCATTGTTTAGCCTAAATAATTATCCATGGTAATTTTTATACCCATATACTCTTAGTATAATATTCCTCATTCTGTCATGTGCTTATAGCTGTTAAAAGAAATGTAAAGAAGGATGGTTTTACCCCATGGATCAGAACCTCAAATTTGATATGAATATCATGTGTTTTTTTCTCTTGTAATCATTATCTGACTAATGTTATATCGTTACATAAATAATAATTTCCATGTACGCTTTGGATATTTATTTACCGCTTATATTTTATTCCGCTGCTTTATTTAATTTAATTACTAGGAATTATTCTAAGGGATTTTAGAATTAGCTAGTTGCGATCCAGCCTTGGTCACCGAGATGGATTGTGACAAAGTGGTATCAGAGCAATGGTTAAAAAATAAATAAACAAATAAATTAAATTAAATTAAAAAAATACCATTCAGTGAGAAGACACGCTTACCATTATAACAAGATTAAAAAAAAACTTACCTTAGTCTTTATGGTTATAGTCTTACCTTAGTCCTTATAGTAATAAGTCTTTTCTTAGTTCTATAGCTAAGTTGGGCATCCTGTGGTGCAAGCAATGTCAGAACTTAACTTTGGTGACTATTTTTGGTATGGGCTTGATCCCCCGGACATTGAAGGAATTTTTGAAAATAACAATTACGTTCCAAACTTACCAGAGGAAATAGACGATTCAGAAGCAATAGCTAGACAGGCAGACCTGACCCTCAACCAACTTATGGGCTGACTAGTATACTTAAGGGCCACCCCCACAGAAGTAGATACGCAGTGGTGGAGGGTTAACGCTATGAGTACCCTAGACAGGTTTTTGGGGCCTACACGGGCAGTAGGCATGGCCCCGAGTCAGGGATATCCTCGCTATTTAGTGGTACCTTTACCTTCAAAGTTTATGACTCGACGAGGAAATGCCTTCTTAAGTGATCATATTCAAGCAAAAGTCCCTCCCCCTCAAACGGTTGACTTTGGTGATATTATGACGTATGTGGAGGTGCTTGTGCGTATCACAGGACGACAACTGTGGGATTATAAGGTAGACATCCCCATGTACCAAGTAGAAGTGGTATGGCGATGCTTTGGCATCGAGCAAAGCGGTTGGGAGTTTGAGCATCACATGCAACTCCAGTTCCTGTTGCAATTTTCAACCTAAGATCCTGATAACAAAATCCTTTCTTTTGTTGTTTTTGTGTTTTTCTTTTTCCTTGTGTTTCGTGTCCAAGTGAGCTGACCATGACCTATTTCTAACCCGTTTTGTCATGGAGGGTTAGGCACTAAATTGAAAAAACTACAAGTGATGTACCAACACCATTATACATTAATAAAACTGGTGTTTCGTGAATAATGTATACATTGTCTATGTTTTGTACATTATGTGAATATGTTTTAATTTAGGTAATTAGTAGGAAATCATGCACCACGTTTATTAAAATTATTAATTTATAGCTATGGCTAACGATGGAAATGGTATCGAATCATCATCCAATGGAGCCGATCCGCTGGAAAGGATTGTGGAAAGAGCTATTACTAGTTTCTTGCAAGCCTTGCAGAACAATGGGTCACCAGAACATCGAGAAGGGATAACTATGATTAAATAGTTCCAAGACCTGAAACCTTCCACGTTCACAGGAGGTTCAAACCCATTGCTAGCTGAAGCTTGGGTTAAAGAAATGGAAAAGATTTTCCGTGCCCTATCTTGCACAGAAGAACAGAAAGTGTCCTTCGCTACTTTCACTTTCAAGAAAGATACGCAGGAATGGTGGCTTTTCACCTTAGAAAATGAAGAGATCTTAACTTGGGCAAGATTCCTAGTGGTGTTCTATGAAAAGTACTTTCCAAAATCACTACAGGAGCAGAAGGCATCCGAGTTCCTACATTTGAGGCAAGGAACAATGTCGGTGGCAGAATACGAAAGTAAGTTCACACGACTAGTACGATTTGCACCATATGTTATTCCGATAGAAGCCCGAAAAGCAAGGAAATTCGAAGTAGGATTAGATGCAGAAATCAAAGATAGGCTTGAGGTTCTGAAACTACCAACCTATACAAGGGTGGTGGATCAAGCATACATCGCTGAAAAAGGAATTAAAACCGCATGTTCAAGTGGAGGGGGTCAAAAGAAGTGGTTTTGGGAACCAGTCGGAGGATCAAGGGTAGCCCCACCAAAGAAAGTAAATCCCGAATCTACTAGCTCAACTGCTTCAACCAACCAAAGTTTTATTATTCCCAGTGGTAGCACCATTCTGAATTGTTCGAGTTACGAAAAAACTCATAGGGGACAGTGCTATCGAGCAATAGGAGCATGTTATAGATGTGGCCAAGTTGGCCATGTAATGAAAGACTGCCCAAAATTCACCAACTCTGTGATAGGTACCTCTGAACTAGCTCAGAAACCAGAAACCACCATGGGAGGAAAGAAGGAACAGAGGCGCCAAGGGAGAGCTTTTGCGTTAGTACCCAAAAATTTCAATGCTACGGAGAACGTTGTGTTAGGTACACTTTCTGTCTATGGTCACTTCGCTCATGTTCTCTTTGACTCTGATTCCACTCATTCTTTTGTTGCACTACACTTTGTTCCCAAGTTAACATCAACACCTGAACCATTGGGATATGCATTATCTGTGGCTTTTCTATCTGGTGTCTCCACGCTTAGTACAAAGGTATACAAGTCCTGTGTTATATCCCTAAAAGGTAAAACTTTGTATGTCGATCTGATTCCACTCTGCATGAGTAGCTTCGACATAATCTTAGGAATGGATTGGCTTGCTGCCAACCATGCCTCTATTGACTGTATGACCAAAAAGGTCTTTCTTCGGTTACCCGACCAACGCGAGCTGGTCTTCGAAGGAACTGAAGTTTCTACCCCTTCGTATTTGATATCCTCCGTGATAGCCCAATGACTTTAGAGAAAAGGTTGTGGTGGTTGTATTTGTTATGTGGTCGACGCTCAACAAATAGACCCAACACTCGATTCAATACCTATTGTTTCGAGAATTTCCTGACGTTTTCCCTGAATACTTACCTGGTACCGTAGTTGATCGAGAAATCGAATTCACCATCGACACTCAACCCAATACACAACGGGTCTCCAAAATCCCTTACCTCATGCCATTGATAGAATTGGAGGAACTAAAAACCCAACTCCAGGAACTCCTGGACAAAGGCTTCATTCGACTAAGTACCTCACCATATAGAGCTCCAGTACTGTTTGTAAAGAAAAACGGATGGCATGATGAGGTTATGCATCAATTACCGGGAGCTGAACAAAGTCACCATCAAGAACCGATACCCCTTGCCAAGAATCGATGACTTGTTTGACCATCTTCAAGGCCCCTAAGTATTCTCCAAAATTGACTTACGTTCCGGCTATCATCAACTAAAAATCAAAACGGAAAGCATCGAGAAGACTGCATTCAAAACATGTTACGGGCACTACGAGTTTCTCGTCATGCCATTTGGCATCACAAATGCTCCAGCGGCCTTCATGGACCTCATGAAGTGAGTGTTCAAACCATATCTTGATAAGTTCGTCATCGTCTTCATTGACGACATTCTTGAATACTCCAAGTCACCGAAGGATCATGAGCAACACTTACTGTCACGACCTAAACCCGCCCCTATGGGTTTAAGCATCGTAACCGACCAGTAATCCGTGATTACCGAAGGCCTACTCGACAGTAAAGACAGTAATACAGAATACAGGGGCTGGCGGAAGCCAAAACAGCAATAAAAGATGTCCAATGAGCTGTGATAGTCTGTATGCAAAAAGACTTCTCATACATATACACATTCAAACAAAACAGTATATACACCATATGTACAACATCCAGGTTAGGGACCAAATCCCTAATTAGCACAGTACAGTACAAGTCTAAAACAGTATTAAAAACGAGACGGAAGGGTGAAACTAAGACACCCTAAATTAGCCTTAGCTTGGTCAGACTTGGAACTCGAGGTGAGGCACAATGGTTGGCTTGACAAAAAGGGAGTTAACCCGACGCTCCTAGCATCAATGCGGTGCTTGAACACCTACATATAAATATAAACAGTGAGCTAAAACCAGTGAATAACAGTTGTGTAAAGAGGTTAAGAATGAATGTCCTTTCAGTCATTAACAGTCATATCGGTCATTTAGAAACCATAGCAGTTATATGTGGTACATCCAATAGCAAAACAGTACAGTAGGTCTTAACAGACCGAACAGTCAGTTGATGGCCATCATAACAATAAACAGTAATGGTACCAAACATGGGAACCGACAGAGATCTCTGTGACAGTAGCAGTAATAGTATAGTAACAGTAAATTGCTATGGATACCACGAATTTAGTTTACAAATAGGACAAACATTCATTCATTAAACATTAGCGTTTCAGTAAACAGAATAGTTTATCATTCAGAAAATATTCATAATTGAACATATCTTTACAACATTGTTACTCACAGAGCACTGGGCTACAAATAGGCTAGTGCGCGTCCTTGGATGCCAACCCTACAGTTACAGAACGAACACACACTAAGTTATACACTTGGGTTTAAATAACTTAGCCCCTAACTTGACTTGGTGTGGTTCTATAACATTATCCTCATTATGATGCCTTAAACATGGCCTAGGAATGCCTAGGATGGAATGAAGATGTAAAAATGTACTTAACAACATTTTTCAAAACTTGCTAAAAACAGGGGTCTCGCTCAAGCGTGGCTTTTTCCGCTCGAGCGAGCTTACCGAATGAGAGAGGTCGCTCGAGCGTAGACTCCCTCACTCGGGCGATCTGCAAAAGTGTGAAAAGTACTGGTTGCTGAAATTCTCCGCTCGATGCCCGCTCGAGCGTGAGACACAATTCTTCGCTCGAGCGTAGGTCTCGTCGCTCGAGCGTGCGTCTGCACACGCAAAAATCTGAGAGCTTGCAATTTACGCTCGAGCCAGCATTTCGTCGCTCGAGCAAAAGTCTGAAAACAAAGGTAGTCGCTCGAGCGTGGAATCCTTCGCTCGAGCGAGGAAGCCGAATTCTGGGTTTTCCATATTTGCTCCCAAAGCTCAAACCAAGAATCAAACATGCTAAAACACATCCTTTTGGGCCAATTTTCTGGAAAACAGTTAGAAACTCATAATACAACATGTTTTGAAGATCATTTTATAAAATCAAAACCCAAAAGTATGTCAATTGAACACAATTCCAATGAAACTTTCATGAACAATGCAAGAACATAACATGCATGAGTTCTCATGAACTCTAATGCTCCAAAGCATGATCAAATACAAGCTTGAACTCAAAAACATGGTGAATTTCTAGAGTATAACCACAATATGGACATGCATGCAAGAATTTCATGAAAACAACCTCAAAATTCTATGATATGGACATGCATGCATGAATGGACTCTCAAATTAACACATTAAGCTAATTCTTGACTCTAATCACCAATTTTTCCATGAACCAAGCAAGAAACAACTTAAATTCATAATTAAGGGAGTGAACTTCAAACCTTACGTCTTGAATTCCAAGTATGATAGCTCAAATGTGCAATTCTTCTTCAATTCCTCTAATTTTCCAAGCCAATCTCTAGATGAATCAATTTTCTCCCACTCTCTCTCTCACTCACGGTTTGGTCTTGAGGAAGAAAAAGATGATGCATCAAAATGTGAATAAGGTGTGCAACAAGGTATATGCCCACTCAATGGCAAAACATGTAATTAATCTAGATTCAATTAATTTAGCATTGTTTATTCTAATTTAATCATTCCAAATTGAATTTTAATTAAACCTACCATAAAATGCTACAAATCCTAATTAGCATATAACACCAATCAATTTCTGAATCAGTCGCCGATAAGGCTTTCAATTCGCAATTCAAAATTAAAACATGAACAGATCATTAAATGACAAACAGATAAAAATGCATTTAAAACAACACACTCACACAACAATTTAGGATTTCATCTTAATCAATTACTTATCATGCTTAATCACAATTTAACGCTAATCAGAGGTGAGGGTTGTCACACCACGACCTACTAACGTGTCTGGGATTCGAAGTTTCTTGGGCCTAGTTGGCTATTATCGGCGCTTCGTGTAAGATTTCTCGAAGATAGCTTCATCCTTGACCTAGAACACGCCATTTGAATGGACCGACAAGGAGGAACGTTGCTTCCAAGAATTGAAGCACAGACTCGTGACGGTTCCTATACTAGCACTCCTTGTGGAAACAGAAAGGTTTGTAATTTATAGCAATGCCTCACACAATGGTTTGGGTTGTGTTCTTATGGAAAATGGGAAGGTTATTGCTTATGCCTCTCGCCAACTAAAGACTCACGAAAAGAACTACCCAACTCATGATCTAGAATTGGCTGCGGTGATCTTCGCCCTTGAGATCTGGCGTTATTATCTCTACAATGCAACTTGTGAGATCTACATTGCTCACAAGAGTCTCAAATATCTGTTTACACAGAAGGAATTGAATATGAGGCAACGACGATGGCTAGAATTTATGAAGGATTACGATATAAAGATCTATCACCATCCCGGCAAAGCTAACGTAGTAGCAGACGCATTAAGCCGAAAAACGACCAAAAGTTTGGCATGTACCCTCGGTCTTCACAAGATCAATGGGTTGCTCACCAACATAATCGTGGAACCAGAGTTGATTGAAGAAATTAGAGCCCGCTGATGTGAAGATAAACTTTTAAAGAAAAAGTACGAGGAGCAAGGAAACATGCCCGATCCTAACTTCACGATGAGCAATGGGATGCTAAAATTTCGAAATCGAATTTGCGTACCCGACCTTCCAGAACTCAAGAAAAAGATATTGGTAGAAGCTTATAGCTCGAGGTTTGCGATCCGCCCCGGCAATACGAAGATGTATCACGATCTAAAGGAACACTTTTGGTGGACAGGAATGAAGAAAGACATAGCAAGCCATGTCTTCAAATGCATGCGCTGTCAACAAGTTAAAGCAGAACATCAGAGACCTGTAGGGATGCTGCAACCATTTCCTATTCCTAAATGGAAATGGGAGCACATTACTATGGACTTTGTGGTCAGGCTACCACAGTTAGTTTCAAAGAATGATGCGATATGGGTTATAATAGACCGATTGACAAAGTCAGCACATTTCCTACCAATCAGAATCACATACTCCCTTACTAAGTTCACAACTCTATACATCAAAAAAATCATTCGATTGCATGGTACCCCAGTTTCAATCATGTCTGACCAAGACCCCCGCTTCGTATCTCACTTCTAGAACAAATTACAAGAAGCTTTGGGAACAACACTAAAGTTTAGCACTATTTATCACCCACAAACTAATGGGCAATCCGAAAGAACAATCCAGACTTTAGAAGACATACTACGGATGTGCGTGTTGGACCTCAAGGGTAATTGGGATGAACACCTACTATAACGAGTTGAATCAAATTGAATTTATATTTTAATCTCAGTTGGGGATTTATTTTAAATTATTAAACTCCATTCATTTTGGACCCAATTGATTGAATCGCAACCCGTTAGTAACCATGTAATATTGTTATGGTTTTATTATTATTATTATTTGATTACCATAAAAGAGTTATGAATATTTATGATGTATACCATTAAATGAGAGTTATACTTTGTGGTAACAAAAATTATACCATTTTATAATTTTATGTTACAAAATTTTATAATTTTGCTAAATCATAATTTTAATTGTAGATATTTATATCAATTTTGAGGACAGAACCACGTGGGGTCTGCTAACCATGCCTTGTTTGGGTGATTGGTTTGCCACTTGCTTAGCTTTTGTTTATATATACTTTTTTAATCAATTTCTCTGCCAGCACAAGGCAGAGAAATAAGGAAACTTTTGATTGCTTTTGTTTGTTTTCGTCAAATGCCTCTCTCTCTCTCTCGGTTATCTCTC